AGGAGATGAAGTTACATGGCTACGGCACAAGCGTTTTGATCATAGTAATTTCCAAATCTAAAACTTCTTTCGCAGAAAATATGGTGAAAGGTATACCGTTATCTCAAATACAATTGGTGTATGCAATGGTTGTCAGTTAGGAAAAATGACAAGGCGCACCGTTTCCAAAGGGACTAGCGAGAAGAGCGATTAAGAAATTGGAACTCGTACATACAGATGTATGTGGTCCAATGAAAACTCTTTCTCTCGATGATAGCAAATATTTCATCTTATTCATTGATGATTTTTCTCGAATGACATGGTATACTTCATGAAAGATCGTTCTGAAGTTTTCAAAATATTCAATAAAATTTAAGAATTATGTCGAGAAAGAATGTTCATCACAAATAATGAATCCTAGAAGCGACAATGGGTTAGAATATAGCTTATTAGAGTTCAACAAATTTTGTGCTAAGGAAGGTATACATCATCAACTTATTATTCCATATACACCGCAACAAAATGGTGTAACTGAAAGAAAGAATAGAACTGTAATGGAGATGGCAAGATCAATAGTCAAGGATAAGGGAATGCGTAACAAGTTCTGGGCAAAAGCAGTTTATACTTCCGTACAGTCTTCAAAATTGACTTTCAACAAAAGCAATAGAGAGGTCGAACACTAATTGAAGCATGTACGAGGATATAAATCATCTATAAGTCAATTTAAAATTGTTTGGATGTGTATGTTATACTCATGTACCTGAGCAAAAAACGTCATAAACTTGATGATAAAGCTGAAAAAGGAATTTTCCTTGGCTATAGCTCTCAATCTAAAGGATATAGGGTTATATAATCCATATACTCATAAAGTTCAAGTTATTAGAGATGTAGTTTTTTTATGAAAAATGCATCATGGAATTGGGAACAAAATGACATTGATATAAGGCATGTTACGACACCAACATTTCATCAAGAGCGTCCTACACCACAATATCAACACCAGGTGATCGAATTGGTCAACATTCGCAGGAGGAGACTGATAATAATACAAATGAATCTGATAGATACGACTATGATAGTTCTACAGATTCACCTCCTCGAAGAACTCGAAGAATTTCAGACATATATGATAATACTGAAAGAAATTCCGGATCTTGATTTGGAACAATGTGAACTTTGTTGTCAAGCTAACGCATGAACCAATTAACTACGAGCAAGCTCTCAGTGTGAAGATGGAGAGCTGCTATGGAAGAAGAAATTCTCATGATTGAGAAAAACCAAACATGGGAATTACAAGACAAGCCACCTAACAAAGATGGCATTGGTGTAAAGTGGATATTCAAGACAAAACTTAATCCAGATGGTTCGATTCAAAAGCACAAAGCCAGACTAGTAGCAAAGGTTATTCACAACAATTTGGCATCGATTATAGTGAGACATTTGCCCCTATATTAAGGCAAGATACGGTTAGGGTAATTCTTGCTCAAGCTGCACAACAAAGATGGAAAATTTATCAACTCGATGTTAAATCTGGCTTTTCTAAACAAATTTCTTCAAGAAGAGATCTATATTGAACAACCTCTTGGTTTTGTTGTGAAAGGAAAAGAAGATAAAGTATTAAGACTAAAGAAAGCTCTATATAGGCTCAAACAAGCTCCACGAGCTTGGTATAGTCGAATTGATGGTTACTTTATCAACAAGGATTTAAGAGGAGTCCAAATGAAGCAACCTTATACATCAAGAAAGATGGGTCACACATTATCATCTTATGTCTTTATGTTGATGACCTAATCGTTACAGGGAACAATTTATCTATGGTAGAATCATTTAAGCAAGATATGATGAGTCAATTTGAAATGACTGATCTTGGCTTAATGAATTATTTTCTTGGTATGGAGATTAAGAAAACAGAAGAAGGGATCTTCATAAGTCAAAAGAAATATGCACAAAATATCTTAAGAAAATTTAAGATGGAAAATAGCAAGCCAGTATCCACTCCTTTAGCTCAAAATGAAAAGTTGAGCAAAGAAGATAATTCAGAAGATGCAAATGGTTAAACAATATAGAAGCATAATTGGGAGCTTATTATATCTAACTGCTACTAGACCAAATATGATGTATGTTTGTGAGCATGTTGGCAAGGTTTATGCAGAAACCAAGCCAAATAACCTAAAAGCAATTAAGAGAGTTCTTCGTTATCTAAAGGGAACCTCAGATTATGGAATATGGTACACACCTATGAAAAATTCAAAACTAATTGGATATTCGGACAGTGATTGGGCTGGATCTATCGATAATATGAAAAGTACATCGAGATACGTATTTTCACTAGGAAATGGCGTATTTTCTTGGCTAAGTCGAAAGCAAGATACTGTGGCTCAATTAACTGCAGTAAGCCGAGTATATTGCAGTATGTGCAGCAAAAATCAAGCAATCTGGCTAAGAAAAATCTTAGCAGAAATGGGTGAAGTTCATAAACAACCCACAAAAATATTTTGTGATAGTAAATCTGCTATTTCTATTGCTAAGAATCCAGTACTTACATTGAAAGACTAAAAATATAAAAATAAAATATCACTTTGTCCGTGAAGTTAAAAGTGCAGGAAAGATCGGCCTTGTTCATTGTACTACTAAAGAACAAATTGCTGACATATTTATAAAAGCCCTTCCAAATCAAGTTTTGACCGGTTAAGGGGAAAACTTGGCATTCAAAAGGAAGTTCTTCAAGGAGGAGTGTTAAAAATGAAAGATCTTCCTTCATTCTCTCAAAATTAACAAGCTATTTTTAGTTATTACTATATTACTATTGATATCATTGTAATAATCATTCAAATTTAAGCAAACTATTAACGATATTTATGTAATTAATATTGCTATAAAAGCATTGTAAAATCATAAGAATAAATATAATATCAACGATAATAAATCATATAATATTTTATTTTTTAATTTCTTTTTATATATTATTATTATGCACAATTAGCACTATATCCTAACACTAATTGGTAATGAGAAGTTGAGAACTACAAATATGATTGTGTATTTGTTGAAGACTATGATTAGCCACCATGATCAAATGCTCAAGATTGCATCCTAAATTTGGTTTATGGATTGCCGACATGGAAGCCACCTCAGCAACTTGCATAACAACTTTCTGTTATTAGATTCCTTTTGTAACAAACTTTTCTTCTAGAAGTTTTCCTTATAATAAATAGAAGTAGTTGAAGGTTGTAAGATTACAACATCATTCATTCTTCTGAAATGAAATTAGCTCCTCTTTCTCTCTCTAAAATCAATTACATTTTTTCTGGTTTTTTGATGATAAACTAAGTTCTTCATATTTTATCATGATATAAGAGCAGGTTTGAGTAAATATGATCTGTAGCTCCACTATCTACAATCCATTTAGAATTCAAACAAGATACTGAACAAGTACTTGTAACATTGGCTCAGTTGTTAGTTGAATACACAAGATTCTATGTATCCACAGACCTCAGTAAGAAATTTTGATTGTCCTGATTGCTCATGTATTGCATCATCTTGCTGTAGATCAGTGGCTGAGATGTGAGCATTCTCATACTTATGATCATCATCAAGGTTATCATCACTGTAGACAATTGCATGCAATCTTCCTTCCTTTTCCTTTATATCCTCCTTGAGAAGGTGGATAACCATGCAACTTGAAACATCTGTCAATTGAATGACTTGAAATCTTGTAGTGATCACAGAAGAAAGCAGAATTCCTCCTGATAGGAGCAGAACTTCCCTTTCCTGTACCAATTCCTCCAGTGAAACCTCCATTAGAACTGCTCTGGGAAGAAGTTTTGTTCCAAGTATTTGGAACAGGGCCTGTATGTGGAAGGTCTGCCTGATAGGCTCTATGCTCAGCACAGAAAGCCATAGATGCCATTGAATCTGAGAGAGTAACTTCACGTTGCTTCTCCTCCTGAACCAAAAGCTTATAAGCCAAAGAGACATTAGGTAGGGATGCATCATCAAGATATTGGTTCTGACATTAATATACTTTCCATCTAACTTCATAAGCAATTGAATCAACCTCTCCTCTTGCTATTGTTTCAGAAATTTTTGAGTGAGATTACATGTGCATTCACTGCATGAACAAACTGGAACAGGATTAAATCCATTTATCTCATCCCAAACACCTTTGATTTGAGTGAAAATTCAGTTATACTACTAGATCCTTGTGAAATATCATGCAATGATTGTTGTAAGGTTAAACAACTACGGACCAGAACTTTGTGAATATCGATGCTCAAGGTCTTTCCAAACCTCCCTTGCTGTTGTGAAATAGATCACACTTTGAGCCAAAGTAGTATCCAAAGATCTCAGAATATAAGAAATAATCATGGCATTGCATCTCTTCCTGTAATACTCCCGTATTTTTATGTATTTTATAAATTATTTTATTAATTATAAAATATATTTTTAAGGGCTCAATTATTTTAATTAAATATTTTAAAGGGTTAAAGTATTTTAATTATTGACTCTCACAAAAGTAAAATACATTTTGGGCTAAACGTTTATTAATTATATGGACTTGTTTAAATAATGTATGTAAACAATCCTTACATACTCTCTAGTGAACTTACCCATTTCATTTAACTAAGCCCAATTCTTATATTTGAACTATTTTGGGTCAAATATTTTATAACTGAAACCCACTTATTTTATTAAGCCTAAACCTAATCCTATTCTCTACTCTATAAACACCTCCAAAACCCAAAAATTTCCCAAACAAGAGATCAAAAATCAGATTTTTTGGGGGTAAGTAATCTTTTCTTTCTTTTCCTTAATTTTCTTTTCTTTACTTTTTTTCTTTCTTCTTTTCTTTTCTCCTTTTTTTATTTTTCTTCTTTCTTTCTTTGCTGCTCCTTGGTTTCATGCGTGAGTTCATATATGGGAGTAAGGGACCTCCCCTTTTGCTGATGCTGCTGCCACGTCACCAAAGGCTGTCGTCCCCACAGCCGACGCCGGCCACCTCTGGCCGTCCAACCACCGTCGCAACCCGCGGCTAGCCACCGCGGTGGTTTTGTCTCTCCTCCTCCTTGTTTTAAATTATTGTTTATGTAATTATTTGTTTTGGGTTTTGATTTTTGATTGATAAATTATATTAGTATATGGTATAATTGTGTTTTGACAACTACAAGAGTATAAATTTCAGATTTTGTATGGTTTTAAATTATGATTTTTATAAAGTATTAAAAGTTAGGGTTTTAATTATAAAAGAGTTGATTTATAGGGTTCTAACTTGCAATTGATTTGGGGGTTTTATATACCTATTGATTGTAAGTGATAATGAAGTTTAAAGACTATATTTTTATGGAATTTTGATGAGTTTTTTGTTAATATTACATTGCTGGAATATTTTTGTAAGCACTACTTTTGTGTTTTAATAAAAAGGGTTTAATTACCCATAAGTAGAGAAGGTTTTAATTGGTTTTAAATGGAATTTTCAGATTTATTTGAGGGGTTTAAACCTTAAAAAGTATGCTGGAATTTTTATATAAACACCATAATTGAGTTTTTACTTTGTGGTTTTAATTACCCACTTAGAGAAAGAGTTTTAAAGGTTTTAAACCAAAATTTCAGCTTATTAGAAAGGTTTTAAAGTGTTTAAAAGTTGCTGGAAATTTGTGTAATCAAGGGAGTAATTGAGTTTATGTATTTGGTATCATAGGAGACTTTAAATTGAGTAATTTCTAGCGTTGTGGCTAATTGGAAAGACGAATTGAGGTACGTATGCGCGTAAGGATATATTAATTATGCGTAGTACCATGTCAGGAAGTTAAATTTGGTATCAAGAATGAGATTAGTATCATGTTAAGTTGTGTTGTGATACTTAAATTGATTGATTGGTTATCCCTGTCTTATATGTAAGGCATGTGAGTATGAAGGAATTATTATTATGAGCTTGATACAAGTTGAAAGTAATTGAATCATGTTATATATTTATTATTCATAATCAAGAATGCATGTATTTATTAAGCAAGGCTTATTTTGTTAAAAAGATAAAAGTTATATTTATTGAGCATGATTCATGATTTTATTCTCACCCATTTATTATTGGAGTTGAGTCAAGAAAGTAGTTTATTTATTTACTCACCCACATAAGTTGAGGTCGAGTCAAGAAACTAGTTTATTACTCACTCACATAAGTTGAGATTGACTCAGGAAGTTAGTAGTGCATTTTATGCACCAAGGTAGCAATCGTGCATTTTTGTGCACAAAATTAGGCAAGGAACCTTAACTAAAATAAATAGTATGTGCTCACTAATTAATTCAAGAATGAACTCGAAGTATGTGTTGATTGTTGCAATGTTTGTTCTTGATTGATTGGTTAGAGTCATCACAAGTTGAATTGGTAAATCACATAAAGTGTAAGAGGATACGCACCAAAACTCTTGTAACGTATATACCTTGAGTATGAACATATGGGGGGAGTTATGGGGTTTTTATATTTAACTATAGCTTCTACAGGGGTACAGGACGTTGTACTTTCTTTTATTATTAATGCGCTGGAATTCCATCACAAGGTGACATAGTAGGTGCCAATTGGAGTAGCTCCCTAATTAGAACCTCCATGTTTAATGGGCTAATTTTAAGGAAGGAAACCCGTTCGATGCGTTATCCAAAGCTATATATTAATAAATTAAAGTAGAGTCATGAGTCAAAGGTAAGTTGACTTGTGTTGTATGACAAGCATGTTTTATTTATTTATTTATTTATTGTCTATTGCTAGGATATTCATGTTAGTGTGATTATTCCTATTGGTGCATATATACTCAACTTTTCCTGATTCGTACTTTGTTTTTTGTGTTTGGCTTTTCTTTGTATTGGCTCTACTGTGACCCATTTTATATGGCGAGTAGTGAGGTTGAAATAAAGAGAAGTACAGGTAGAAGGAGCATATCAAGCATGATGGGATTGAGCGAAGAGGGTTATATGTTACATTGCTTTGTTTATTTCTTATCGTAATATATTATTTCATTTATTGTTGTCACTAACATATAATCCTATTTGTAATATTTTAGTTTGATTTTTAAAAAAGGGCCTTGAATGGTTCCAAGTTATTTGTTTAATGTAAGTTGGTTTTAAAGTTTGAGTTTGTTTTATTAAACTTTATTTTATTTGAGCTTTTAAAAGTTAGTCTTCCGTTGTGTGACTTTGAATTGAAATAGCCTTAGCCGTTATCACGGTGGCCGTAATACTTTGGATATTTTCTAAAAATGAGTTTTATTTAGAGTAAGAGAGTATTTTAAAAGAAGGGAATTTCCAAGGTATTACACTCCCAGGCATGAAAAGCTTTATCAGTATCAGGAGGTTTTGGCAATGATCAATCATTGAATGCTAATTTGTTCTTCGCAGCTAATGCAATCATCATGCTTCGTCGCCATTCATTGTAACACTTTAGAAAATTTCTCTGAAATAATAGGTAGTGCGATTTTCCGAAGGATGCAGAAAATAGGCACTAGTAGGATCTCGAGTAAGAGATGATGGAGTAGTTTCCGCCATTGATATGAAAATACGAGCTTAAACAATCAATTCAGATTGAATTTAAGTGGAAATTGATCAAAAATGCAATCAAACAACGAAGAAAAATCGATCAAAATACAGCAATCAATTATGAAATCAAAAGAAAGAATATAAGCAGAAGAAATCTAAAGAACATAATTGAAATGCTCTGATATCATGATAAAATATGATGAAGTTAGTTCATCATCAAAAACCAGAAAAATGAATAAGAGGTTCCAAAAGAATGAAGTTGCAACTGATGATAAGTCCATTCTTGTAACTAGTTCTGAAGAAGTTAAACTTTGGCATCTTAGACTAGGAAATTTACCATTTAATAAGATACATCATGTTAGGAATAATGTGTCCTGTACATCTGGTAGTGACTTTATTTGTCAAGTTTATCCCCAGGCAAGACAAACCAGACTGTTTTTTTCCTTTGAGTAGTTCTGCTACCACTCATATTTTTGAGTTGGTACATATAGATACTTTGGGTCCATATAGAGTGAATAATCATGATGGTTGTAATATGTTCTTGACAATAGTTGATGATTTTTCAAGGCATACATGGACTTTTCTCATGAAACATAAAAATGATGTTGTTCCTGTTATTGAGCATTTTTCTGCTATGGTTAAGACTCAGTTCAACACTCAAATTAAGTGTATCAGATCTGATAATGCAATTTTATCTCAAGAATTGTATTGTGCACCAAAAGAGTTGTCCTGATACTCCTCAACAAAATGGTCTAGTTGAGAGAAAGCATAAGCATATTTTAGAAACTGCTCGAGCTCTTTATTTTCAGTCCAATGTTCCTATTTCATTGTGGAGTGAGTGTTTGTTGTATGCCACTCATCTGATAAATAGGATGCCACTTAGCTCAATCAATTTCAGTACTTCTTATGAGAAGCTTCATGGACAGAAACTAGGATTGGGTCATTTGAAAGTTTTTGGTTGTCTTTGATATGTGTCCACTTAAAGATTCATAGAAGCAAATTTGATCATAGAGCAGTTCAATGCATTTTTCTGGGATATCCACCTGATCAGAAGGCATATAAAGTCATGGATCTTTCATCAAAAATAATTTTTGTGTCCAAGGATGTACAATTCTTTGAGAAACGTCTACCCTTCCTTAATCCCTCCACTATAAACACACCTAAATCCATTTTTCTACCAATAAACACTCTAACTTTCACACATTTCCTGATTTACCTTACCCTTTTGTTTTGCATCCAAATCCTAATCTTGCCTCCCAAAATACTCAATCAAATCCTCATCCAACTCCTGTCTCACCTCCATTTTCTCCCTCAAACTCTCAGCAAGACAACACCACCATAACACCACCTCTCTCACATTCTGATCATCTTTCCTCATCTGTCTCACAACATGTGCCTGACACAAGAGTTTCTTCTAGGCCACACAAACCACCTTCCTGGATGAAAGACTATGTTACTACACCATCTATATCCCAGCACTGGTGTAACATTGTCCTTTTTTGTGACATTCCTAGTGTTCTGCAATCTAAGATTGCTTGTACTGTCAAGGTTACAGAACCTAAGAGCTACTTAGAAGCTTCTCAGGATCAAAATTAGATAGAAGCTATGCAGACAAAAATTGCAACTTTGGAGAAGAATGAAACTTGGGATTTAGTTATGTTACCCAAGGATAAGAAGGCAATTTGGTGCAAATGGGTGTTCAAGGTAAAGCTCAAAGTTGATGGTACAGTTGAAAGATTAAAGGCAAGACTTGTGGCTAAAGGCTATACTCAAGTTTATGGGGTGGATTATGATGAAACTTTCTCACCAGTGGTTAAAATGGCCACTATTAGATGTTTACTAGCTTTAGCAGCAGGACATGGTTGGGAATTGTTTCAGTTAGACATAAATAATAATTTCTTACATGGAGAGTTGACATAATTATACATGAAGATGCCAGAGGGAATTCCTAATTCTAACAATTTGGTGTGCAAACTAAAGAAGTCTTTGTATGGATTAAAGCAGGCATCAAGGCAATGGTTTGCCAGACTTACTGCTGAACTAAAGAAGAAAACTTTTGTGCAGTCCAAGAATAATCCTTCTTTGTTCATTTACAAGGATAAATCTGTTACTCATTGCAGCTGTTTATGTGGATGATATCATCCTTACTATTACAGATCTCATCCTTATTAATGATCTTAAAACACATTTGCACAATGTGTTCAGCATCAAGGATCTTGGTCACTTTAATTACTTCCTTGGCATAGAAGTTTCTCACACTCCTCATGGTATAATTCTTACTCAGAAGAAGTTTTCTAAAGAGTTACTCCAAGAATGTGCCATGGACTTGTCTAAGGCTGCAAAAACACCTCTTCTTGTTCATTTGAAGCTGGTTACAGACCAAGGTGATCATTATCATGATCATGTCCTTTATAGAAGTCTGGTGGGAAAGTTAAACTTTCTTACTCATACTAGACCAGACTTAGCATATGCTGTTCAAACTCTTTCTTACTCATACTAGACCAGACTTAGCTACATATCGTTGAGCGAGCTAGCTTCATAATCCATGATTATTATATTCAAGATTAGCCAACAATAATCCATTTGCATCTACATCACCTGAATTCATCTAAACACACAAACGAAAAGTAGTATAATACAACTTAAATATATAACGAAAATAAGCACCTTAAACCTCTAAATTCATTTTTATTGGTTATAAAAATTTAACCACCTAAAATGTGTACAAATTAGGACTAATCAATTTTATTGGTTATAAAAATTTTATTGTCCAAAGTATGCATATAAAAATGACGTGAAATAAAGTTTTAGTGCTTTGTTTTGACTATGAAGTTGGAGGTTTAAACCTTGACCCTTTACCTTTATGAGTATCTTTAAATATTCCCCCTTGCTTTGGCCGTATATTATGTATATTAATTATGTTATAGAAGTTTAAGGATGCATCTAAGAAATTTACTTTACCAAGCTAGATAAAAACTTTTTGCCTTGCCTTCTTATTTAACTCATCAAAGTAACTTTGTTAACTTGGCTTTGGCATATTATAAAGAGGAGAAGGTTTATTCTCCCTCATTATTTCAAATTTTCTTCCTTATGTATTGTACAATAGTTTATCATTGATCAATCCTAATTGGTTTATTTCTTGTGTTTTTTAATATAAATTTCCTCTATTGTGTATTGTACAATAGTTTATCATTGATCAATCCTAATTGGTTTATTTCTTGTGTTTTTATGTTTTCCCTCTAAATAATATTAGGGTGTTGATTATGAGTTAGTGCAAGTTGTTGGACAAACCCTTATTAGAAGATCAGTTGGTTGGGGTACTCATATTAACTTTTTGGCTCGGCTTAAGGTATTAATTCTTCTCCAATACTCTTTTTTGCTGATCTAAAACATGCACCAGATGAAGTTTTACACTGTTGAAAATTGACTCCTGTACCCTGTGTTTTCGGTATGTTAATGAAATCGTTTATTTGATCTAAATTATGTGTCTTTTAATCCTGCTGATTTTCTTAGTTAATTGTTTCTCTTGTTGCCTCTGTTTATAGGTGAAGCTCGTCCTCGGGATGTATTTATCTTTCATTGTCCACTTATTGAGTGCTTGCAATGTGATGAGTATTTGGACATTTTCTACAATGATGAAGATGACAGTGAAGACGATGTTATTTATATGTGATTAAGTGACTAATTAATGTGTAGACTTATTGTTGCTAATCAAGTCAGAATAATAGCCTAATTTTGCATCAATCCCTTTCTCAGAACCAATTAATAATATTCTTGTTCACTCCACTTCCAACTTAATCTATTTATTTTCATGTACGGTTCATTTGGACTTTGGTTTGTCGTAAAACATTTTCAATTTTTTTTTTTTTTTTTTTTTTGGTTATAGAAAACTTAATTTTAAGGAAGAGCAAAGTCACAAATCAGTTTTTCTTTGTAAGAAAAGCGATTGAGAAATTGAAAATATGAGTAAGAAGGTAAGAATGGATAAGAGAAATGTACAATGTGGAGTAAAGAGGAGGGAAGAAAATGTGGTTTTCCTTCTTTTATAAAGGAAAAATGTTTTCCAACATATAAAATGTGATGTTTCAATGTTTTGAAAATTGTTTTTCACCCCTTCACGACCATCTGACAAAAAAATGAGAGAGAATGAAAAAAATCATTTTTTATGAAAACATTTTACATAAAACGGAACATACCCATTGACCTGTAATACCCACAAGCCTTTCTAATAAAACAGTGCAAACTACAAACACGGGTTACCAGTATTTAGGAACGATTGAGTATCATTCATACCACCATATGAAATTTCTAAAAAAAAAAAAAAAAAAAAAAAAAAAAAAAAGATTATTATTCATACCATCAAATGTAGTTTTGTCAATGAACTATCACATATTTAATGACGTTTTGGGCCTTTTGCTTTTGCCAAAAGTACACATATACTCTTACTTTAACCTAGTCAATTTGCTTACATAATTGCATCTAATTAATGACTCTAGAAGTAATTTATTAATTCTAGTAGTATATTGTAAGATGTGTAATCGAAAATGACCTTTGGATGACGGTTCTAAGATAATCTTGCTTAACATTTTTTGATAAATTAATTTTAACATTTTTGGTTCATAAAGCATACAATTAGGAATAAGCAGAGAGGTTCCACTGGTACCAAGTAATATGCCATCTAAGGTACCAAGGTATATCTCACCCAACTTTTAAAGATGCTAAATTTCTTTCTTTTTTGAAATTTTTATTGAATTTTGTCTTTTCTTTTTCAATTTATATATTATTACCATATACAAAATCTGAACTTTTTTTTTTTCCTTCTTGCTGACTTGCTGTTTTCCTTCCTTAATTGTTAAAAAAAATGTGTTCTGTTTTTTTTTCCCCTCTTTTTAGCGCCACAATTGTCAGTACTGCACTAAATTTGTACTGCAAAGAAAAAAAAAAAAAAAAAAAAAGGTCACTTTTACCTAGATTAACTGTTAATTTCAATGTTTGAAGATTTTTCTTTGATAATTTCACTAAAATATGTCTGTATACCATCTTAAACTTGTTATATTCCCCACTAATTTGTTCTTGTTTTCAGACTTTGGATCTAGTGTGACTTCCTTCGGAATTAGTTGTGGCGTGCCTTTCTTCATAACCATTGTCACATTGTTCTAGTCTCGTATATATTGAACAAACACATTTCATAGAACAATTAACACACAGGTTGCACGTTAATTATTCTGTAGTTTATTTGTAGTTAAAGAATATACCTAGCTAGAGTAGTTTACATAGGATTCAAAAGAAAGCAACAAAAAGTCATGAAACATGGCAAAAGCTATATTATAAAATGCAGTTAAAACTTCAAATTGAAACAGTTAAGGTAGGGAATGATGATGCTCCTTCTGGACGGTGACTCATGGGGCTAACCAAAGGGCAACGAAGTGGTTAGATGATCGCGTTTTCTGTCAAAAAAACAAGACCTTAAAAAACCTTTACTATATGATTTAATAAAAAGATGAATGAAATATGCACATAATCTGCCTGATTCGGATTGGCCATCGGTTATCAAATTAGGATTTATAGGGTCGTTTCTGACATTTTAAAAAGCAGTACGGTATATATTACTACATATATCACATGGACTGTCTTAGCTCTAATGAAAATGCAAGGCTTTTTGTTCTTTTTTTTTTTTTTAATTAATAAGTCATTACGTAATCAAGAAATGCACCAAATACTAACAGGATATACCCTCGTACTAGTAATAAAAAAAAGTTCCGACAGAAAATATGCTTAAGTAATGAGAAAATCTATACAATGGAACAAAAACAGTAAAAATTGCTGATGCAAAGGTTCTAAATAGAATTTTATATTTAGCCAGAATTTGATAATTAGTTTTACTTATGTATGGAGTGATGCTACAGTTTATAGGACCACATCTTATGCTTTCTTGTCCCATTCCCCAATTCACTTGATCATTAAATTTTACTCTATTTGTTTTCCTTATTATAGTGATAAACAGACTTAATAAAACTAGACTACTAGTCCAACTCGAATCATATCGGGCACCCATTCGGCCAAATCCAAACTCAAAATTAGTACGATTAAAATTCAAATCGAATAACTTACGTAGTATTATCCAAATATATCCTCAACAGAATCTAATCCAATAAATAAACTTGTTGCAAACTTAAATTAGAAGTTCAAATCTCACTAATTAACTAATTTGAAGTTTTGAACAATCTAATGGAACTGAAAATTCATGCCACCGTCATCTAGTGGTGAACAAAGAATTCTTATTCCGTTTTAAGTAATACCAATGCCTCTAAACAAAATTCTTCTTCCTACACTGAAAGTCAAAATAAGACCCACTTTCTACTAACTTTCTCATTTCCATGATTTCAATTGTTACGGTATTTATGTATATGTATGAAGATAAAATAAGTTAGAACGAACAAAATAATATGAATGTTGGACATGGACTAATTCATCCTAAGATCTTCCTAGTAATTGATTTAAGAATAATGGGGGGTTGAAATAGTAAAGAATTTATAAAAGAGAGAATACCAAATAATAATACGACGTAGTAATGATAATATTAATAATTATAATAATAGAAATAAAGTACAAATGCTGAGTTGAGAGGAAGAATGGTGTTGTCATAGGGGCATGGCATATGCTTGGGAAGATGCTAAGTAGCAAACCCCACTTCTCTCAACACTTTGCTTTTTCATGTATTACTTTAAACCAAAAAGTGTCTACAAACCACTACATAAGTCACCTGTCACCCTCTTTTACATTGCTCTCATTGTCATGACCTATCAAGAGGAGACTTAGACTCCCTCCCTTATATATCTTCACTCAATCCCTCTATGGAGAAACCCTCTAACACACACCTCTTCATTCACCACGTACAACTAACTCCGTCGTCCCACCCC